CTTCTCCTCTTCTCCCTCCTCCTCCTTCTCCTCTTCTCCCTCCTCCTTCTCTTCTCCCTCCCCCTCCTCCTCTCCTTCCTTCTACCCCTCTTACCCCCCCCCCCGTTTCTGTTTTTGAGACAGGGTTTCTATATAGCCCTGGCTGTCCTGAAACTCATTGCGTAGACCGGGCTAACCTTGAACCCACAAAGATCTGCCTGCCTCTGCCTCCTGAGTGCTTGGATTAAAGGCTTGTGCCACCACATCCAGCTTAAGAAGAGACTTAAAGGTGATCATGACTGGAAAGCAATAACCTCTACACAATCGAGGTCTCTCAGCCGGTGCCAAGCCAGAAGACAACAGTCGCTTTCTATTTGTGAATAATTATTTCACATGCATGGAACTGTCACCTGTAACTTCGATTTCAGCCCTCTCAGTGAGTCCCTGTAGCAAGGTGGCCTGACGCCACTGGCTCACTGGGAGGAAAGAAGGGAGTTGCATGCAGGCCTGTTACAGAAGTATTGCCAACCTAGGCTAGACAGAATGTTTTGTCTTGGAGCCCAGCCAGATTCAGGAGGCAAATCCCAGACATGGACATGTTTCCTGCCATTGCTGATATATAAGGCCCTGGTACAGGTGGCTGCTGAAGGAGAGAGACAAACAACCCACGGCTTACTCTGCTCACAGGAACTCTCAGCTAGACAGCAGTGAGCAAGTAACACAGGTTGGCATATCAAAAAGCCAAGAGGGAGATGGCCTGCAAAGGGGCAGAGCAGGGCAGTGGTTAAGCCGTGGGAGTGATGGTGGCCTGTGTGTGGAGCCTGTGGCCGGTGCACTGATGCACGGGTTAGCAGTCAGGTGACAAGAGTTCCTCCACTGGAGTTCCAGCAGGACCTTTTGCTGCTTTTACTGCTACCAAAAAGGAGCCAGTGCCCTCAGCTCAGACGTTCACAGCCACAGCTGTACCTTAGAAATGACTGGAAGCTTCTATTGAGTACTGATGCCTGGAGCTGACCCAAGATCAGAAAAGCCAGAATCTCCCAGTGTCCTGCCTGCCCATGGTGTTTTTTAAAAAAATTCCATTGATATCTTTAGCAAGTAACAGAGACTATGAAGCTAGGAGGCAGAAGGTCTGTTTGAAGACCACAGTGCTCTGAGATCCAGAGCCCTGGTGATGGGTAAGAACACGAAAGCCTGGATGCCCATGTTATCTTGCTGTAGTTGGTTTACTTAGCAGAAGCCGGAGACCTGCAGGCTCACCCGAGGGTCACCATCGTGTCTGAATTGTGAGCTTTCTGGAGCTTCCCACTCACTGACATGCAATGTTATCCTGACTTCTCACTCAGTGCTCAAAGCAGCCCCTGAGAGATAACCAGTCAGCCTTGCATCTGTTCTAGCAGTAGCCACCTGTCTCTGGTGAGATTCCCACCTCCACCCCCACAGCACTCACGTTCACGATGAGGAAGTCCAGCCAGCACCAGGCGTTGGTGAAATATTTTTTGAAGCCATAAGCTACCCACTTGAGCAACATCTCGAACACAAAGATGAAGGTGAACACTCTGTCAGTGTACTCCAGCACGGACTTCACTCGGGGTTTTTCTTCCAGGTAGTTATCCTCAAAGGCCTGCAGGAAAGGGAGGAGAATGACCAGTATCCCAGGAGTCCTGATCCACAGCAAGGACTATCCCACCCTGCCCACAGACTCCGGGAAACAGCCTCAGCAGGAAAGTAGAGGTGGCAACGTGGTACATAAACTGAGACTTTGCAGCCCACAGGGACATCCAGCCCTGCTACTTCACAGGGCTGTTGGGTACAAGCGAGAAAAGAAACCTCAAGCTGGATTTTGGAAGCGAACCAAAGGGATGTTCACAGTGACTTATTTTAAAACTAAAAACCTAGAGGGATATCCACAGGCAGTCCACAAGAGAGGAAAGAACTGCCAAGAAACTTCTGAAAGTAAGTGTCTTATTTCATGGGTAATCAAGGAAATTCAAATAAAAAAGAGACGCCAAGTTTTCTTTTTTATTGGAGGCAAGGATGAAAAACAACAGAGACAATCCCAGTGTCAGCATGTCCGTTGGGCATTCCTTCTCAGGGATGATGAATGGGAGTGAAAGACAGCCAGTCTTTGGGAGCCAAATGGGTGTCAGGAAGCTAGTCAACTTATCTTTAAGGCTGTGCTAAAGACACTGGGTGCTACCAGTGTCTGCGTGACTCTTCAAGTGTGGCTTCAGTCCCTAGCTGCTGGGAGCAGCTTCAGGGGTTGAATCGAATTGAATCCACTTTGGAAAGTGTTTAATAGGTTAGATGCCCACCAAGAAGTCCAGGGCACCCACACGGAGCCTTGAGCTTATATATATGTTTGTCTCCATTTTGGACAACTCTGTGATACCCTGGAGTGTCCAGGCTCCCCTGGGATCAGCTGAAGCTGGACACTGTCTCTCAGCTCCTTCCCCTGCCCTATCCTGCTTTCCTTCTGTGTCTCATCCACAAGTCCTCCTCAATAAGCTGATGGATCAAGAGACATGGCTTCAGCTTCTTCATCTTGGACCAAATCTAAGCCAGGCAGGCATTCATAAATCTCCAACAACCATTCAACATCTTTGGGCATTGTTCACTATCTCTGTCTATTATTCAATATTCTTGACAATCATTAACTATCCCGGACAGCCATTAAATATCTCTGATCATCATTCAATTTCACTCAGTATTTCTGGCAATCATTCAACATCTCTGATTGTCATTCAAAAATCTCCAGTAAGTATTCAGTATCTCCAAGGCAGTGCTGAAGACGTGTTGTCCGTGTGAGGTGTGAATATGGGCGCTAACTGAATAAATGAGGACACATTCCTATAATGTCGTGGCTGTTAAGTGAGTTTGCATGAGCACATTTCCTGAGGAAATTTCCTGAGAAATTATAGAATGCACACATACACTTATTTTATAATATTTATGTATTCTGTGTATGAGAAAGCTGGGACGAACCACACCAAAGTGTTTTCAAAGTGAGTTTCTCTTTGAGTGACAGGAAAATGGCTGATTCCCCCCCCTTTACCTTTTTCCATAATTTCCAAGAGTTTTTTTTTTTCCATTTTACTTTGTCAGATGAAAATTCATGTTGGTTTTTTTTTTTTAAGCACTCAAAGTAAAAGCATAAAGAAGCCTAAATTTGGTGCATATCTGTTTGGTCCCATAGGAAAAAGAGCCAGGGATTGCAGGGGAACTGCTTGGCGGTGGGGCTGGGGCAGAACAGATGTTTTAGGATTTGGGTGCCCCCTTGGGAACAGGGAAGCTGGTGCTAGACTGTAGAGAGAGAGAGGAGGTTGCAGCTACTGGGTGCAGATAACAAAGAAGGAGACCTATGGGGGAAGGCCTGTGGGGTGCAGGGGTAGGGATCCACTTAGCAGCATTGGCCACTTACTCCTTCCTTCCCCTTCCCAGCACCTGTCTCTTCCAGATGCTCTTCCTTACGGCCAAGAGGCCGGCCGCACACTGAACAATTCTGGCTCTCCAAGGCAGTCTGGCATTTAGTCAGTTCTCAGGCATTCAGTAGACTGCTTTCTTTTTAGAGAGCAGATGGCACAGGACAAGGAAGACAAATGGACAGGGGGACAGGGACATGGGTAGAGCTGCAGGAGAGTGAGGCCCTAGTCCCAGCTCCTAGACAGATTCGCTTGGATCTCAGCTGAGTCTTTGCTGTGCAGCATGGCCGGCTAGGGACAGAAAGTCCCTTATGGTGTCTATGTCTACTTTGCTTAATTAGGATGGGCACTCAACACTGTCCTGAGCCTAAGTCAGTGGGAAGAGGGCGTCCTTCCTTGTTCTCCAGGGCCCAGCCTTTGGCTAATGGCTTTGGGAGCGTCTCAGATCCTGTCCCCTAAGACCGTCCTATTCAGTGTGGCTCTTGACTGCCAGTGTCAGCCTCAAGCTTCAGCTTGTTAGAAATGCAAGTTCAGCTACCAAGCTTTCAAACTGGGCCTGCGTTCACACAGGCTCTCCAGAGGACCAGATGTGAGGAGACAATGCTTGAAGGAACTGTGCGATCTGAAGAAGTAGCAGGCATGCAGTTTATTAAGACAAGGGAAGATGGTCTTGATCTTCAGAAAAAGGGGCTGGAGGTCAGGGGGTAGAAAGCCAAGGGTTTAGGAATCCACTATGGGTGAAGTTAGGTTTCACTACTGCCTAATTGGTGACATTGGGAGAGTCCTCTGACCGTTTGAGTCTTAGTTTTTCCATCTGTTAAGTGAGAGACATGCCCTCATTGCTTGAACAGTTTGTAGCTAGGTTCAGAGTGCTATGTGAGGGGTACTGAGCATCCCATGAGGTGAGCAGGGCTAAAGCTCTCCTCCCATCTGTAGCTGGGGACTTTCAGCTCAGGCCTTGGGGGCAGCCCACCGAGGCAGCTCTAGCTCCAACACCTTTGGGTGGAAGTCCAGGCCGGTTGGAGGCTATTGAGGCAGGGACCCCATTTCTTCCTCCTTACCAGCGCCCCACTACTGAGCAGAATCATGAAGATGATGAAACTCTCGAACCAGCTGTGCTCCACAATGCGGTAGCAGGTCTTGCGCACCTGCCAGCCCGTGGTCCAAGGAGACTTACTGGTATTCACTTTGCAGCAGGGACACCAGCGAATGCAGCCTGAGGCGGGGTGGGAGGGGAGGGGAGGGGAAGGGAGGACAGATGGCAGACAGGGCCCTGGTTAGCTTTAATTGTCAGTGATGTAGGCAGACTCAGCTCACTGTGGCCGGCACCCCTCCCTAGGCAGGTGGTCCTGGACTATGTAAGAAAGCTAAGTGTGAGCCTGTGATGACGTGCAAACAGCATGCCTTCATGGTTTCTGCTTCAAGTTCTTGCTTGAGCTCCCTGCCCTGACTTCTTTCAATAGTGACCATGACTTGGAAGTCAAATAAATCCTTTCCTGCCCTCGGTAGATTTTGGCCATAGTGTTTTATCGTAGCAGAGAAGGTAAAGCAGAATAGATAGTGACAGATAATGCGATAGGACGTCACTCTGGTCTGCAGAGAAACCATTGCGCTGGGAAATACATCTCCACACCATTGGGGAAGACTCCTTTCGTGGAGTACAAGAGGAGTGGCCCCTCCCAGTTCTTTTTCCTATCTAGCCCGTTAGGACTACCTCTCATCATGGCCTTGAGACTCAAATGCCCTGCCTGGTTCCTTCCTTAATATAAATGAACCTAGTTGTCTCCATCCTTATGCTCACAGATCCCTAGAAGGGTGATAAACTCTGAATCCTGAATTTGATGGCTCTGGGAGGCTATAGCCTGACCCATGCTGGACTGAACCACCACACAGCTGGCATAGGGCCTGGGTCCAGCTTAGCTGAATTCAGGTGGAAGCAGAAACGCAACAAAATGCTTCTCCCACAATTTCTACATATTTAAAGCTACCATGGCCACAATCACCTTCTCAGTAGGAAATATTTGTCTGTTTATCCATCCTGTGAGTGTTTATGGAGAATGTAATATGCCTCACTTTTAGAAATACTACGGGGGGAAAGTGGATCAATATAGACCCACTTTATGGAATCTCAACAAAGATTTAAGGGAACAAACACCCATGACCCTTTCTGGGGCACCTTCACATCCCCAACCAGTTCACAGTGACACCAGTATAGCATCATTTCCCCCTTTCACACTCAAGAGTTTATGATCTCACAAGGTGTTCCTGAGGGTGAGTTGGGAGGGGAGCACAAGGTGCTCCGACACAGATGTCCCAGCTGTTGTGAGCCCTTTTGTTTGGTCCCTGTGGATGCCAGGCCATGGCTCTGGACACAGAGGTGTTCAGGTGAGTGTTGGGTGGGATGCTGACCCTGGTTAACATAAGCATGAGGAGGTCTGTGACTCTTGTACCTTCTGTGAAACAGTCGTCTGGCTCGTCCAGCTCATCTGCCAGCTCAGGGATCTTCCTGAGGATCTCCTCTGGGTCCGGGCAGTCCACCGTGCTGCCCTCGGAGGAGCTTGTGTCATCCACTCCCTGCAGGGCAGAGGCTGGGTCAGTGAATGTGGCTCTTTGAAGAACCTGGCACTTCTATACATGGTCACTGCCTGTCTGGTTGGGCTGGGACCCCTGAAGGGCAGGTGAGCCCCCGCAGGCCTCAGGCTCTGCTGTCTGCTGCTTTTGGCATCTTTGTGTGTTTGAGACTCAACACCTAAGGCCAAGATATGCATTCTCCCAGTGGAACCCTGTGGGTTGGCCAAGCCAGGATGCAAACCTCTGGGCCATGATGGAGAGCTGGCAATGGCCCGAGACACCATAATTACACCCATAAAGATGGTCGGCTTTCAATGCACTTGAATATTTAATCGGGGAGCTGTGTTGTGGGGCCCTGCCATCCTCACAGCAGCGCTGGCCTGTAATGTCTCCAGACAAATTCAATTAGAAGCCAGTGTTAGTGAACCTGATCGCTTGGCTAATGGAACCAAATGGTACGGAGGGACCCCATCTGTCACCGACAGGCCCCTCCCTGCCTGGCCGGGGTCAAGGCCAAGAAAACAAAAACAAAATTAAAACCTACGCTCAGGAGTTATGTACCGAAAGCAGGGAGTAGGGAAGGCTAGTCAGGGGGTCCATCGAATAACTTAGAAGGGACAGGACGCCCATGGGCGGAATGTCACAACCCCCACCCAAACTTCATCCCAGTCCACTCTGTTATCTTAGTTTTCTGCGGTCAGCCTTGCCTGGGCTCAAAGCCAGGAGCTGACATTCCTCACGCTGAAGGGCTTGATAAGTCGTGTTCGTGTGGGTGAACTGTGTTCGTCTTATCTTGGCCAAGTCCAGTGGCCATCACACAGCTGCACTTGGGGCCGAGGTGTCAAGTTAAAGCCCTCAGTTTCTTACAGTGGCAGCCAAAGTACTAAATATCCGGAGCTTGTGTGCAGGTGGGCACGTGTGCGTGCGCGTCACGTGTGCGTGAGTGACTGTGTGAGAGCGAGTGTGCACTCACGGGCACGTGTGGGTGAATGCTTGAGGCTAGAGTTAGATGCCTCCATTAGTCGCTCTCCACAAAAGGCAGGCTCTCCCACTGAATGTGGAGCTCGCACTTGGAACATGGAACATGGACTTGGCTAGACTGACTATTGACTGACCACTGACCACCAAGCATCCCCTTGTCTCTGCCCTTCTCCCCACAGCACTGGGATCATAGAGGTGCACTACCAAGTCCAGCTTCTTTTACTTGGGTGCTGGGGGTACAAAGTCAGGTCCCTGTGCACGCCCACCAAGCACTTTACCGTCTGAACCATCTTCCTTGCCCCAAGACGCTGACTCTTAACAGGCATCTCTTTGCAGAGAGACTCTCCCCCAGGATTTGTAAGTGACACCACGGTTTATTTTTACCTCGCCCCAGCATCCTGCAGCTGAGTGTTCTCCCTGCTCGGTTTTTGTGAGGCTGTCAGTTCGCTGTGCACCTGTAGACAGCCTCCCTCCACCCCTGGCTGCTTTTGGTGAGAGAGCATGATATGGACAAAAGACGGAGGGGAGGCATCCCTGGGAAGACTTCCCCCGCCCAGGGGACACCTCCACTCTCACTGCTGTCTCTGGAAGATTACCTGACTCTCTTTGTTCACGGTCTTTTGTCCCCTCTTTCTTGGCTGTCATTTTCTGGGCACTTACTCCATTTCAGACAGGAACTGAACATTTGACGGGCGGCTTCTCATCTAGGCTTCCAAATAACCTTACCAAATAGGCACTGCACACAGTCCTAGACAGGCACTGCTGCACGGTTCTATATAGGCATCCCACACAGTCCTATATAGGTACTGCGCATAGTTCTATATAGTACTGCACACATTTCTATTTAGGTGCTGCTACATAGTCCTATATAGGTACTGCACACATTCTATATAGGCACTGCACATACTCTATATAAGCACTGCCACACAGTCCTATAGATGAAGACACAGAGGCTTAGAGAGTAGGAGCTGGTCCAGGTCCTACAGCCTGGGGGATCCACACTCTTTTCCCATCCTTACAACTAGCCAAGGGTGAGGTTCAGCGATGTAGCATGCTGTGATTGACCAGAGGCTGACAGATGGTCCTGCAGTTAGGTGCAGTCTTGTCCAGTTCACACCATCCTACAGTACCAACCCTTCTGACGGCGTCTGTCCAGCTGTTGGATCTCTCTAAAAAGCTCACATACCTACCTCGGCAGGGACCTGAGGGCTATCCTCTGGCTTCCATCTCTCCCCCAGGTATGGAGCCAGATCCTCAGAGGACATCCGGGAGGCTGGGCTTTGGGCTGCCTGGTGATCTTCACACTTTTGGACTTGCGGCAGCTGCTCCTGCTGACAGGAGAGGACCCACCTAGGTAACTGAGTCAATTCCAGTTGACCACTTCTGAATGGAAGAACTTTGCATGTGACAGACCTCCAGAGCTAAGGTCTTTACACGTGTACCTTACATGCATGTGTACATTGGTGTGAATTAGGCACTGGGGTATAGGTCTGTATACAGCTCCTGGCTCCATTTGCGGGTATGTGACCTTAGGAAATCTATGTAATCTCTCTGATCATTTTAGTCCTGTCTATAACATCAAGAAGATGAGATTTACTTCATGTTGTTCTTCTGATCACTAAATATATAAATGCAGGAGATTTGGCTCCACAGATGGTAGCCATGGCCCTCAAAACCTTGCCAGAAGTCAAACCGGTCATGGACTAAGGTCATTTGAGCACTCCTACCTCAAACACCTCAAAGTAACCCAACATGCCCCTGAGTTGCAGACAGCTATCAGAGAGTTCATGTTCTTTACTCCCGGGAGGTGACACTCTGGCCTCAGCTGTCACTCAGACAAAGGAATCTAGAAAATGATAGTTGATAGCAGCAGCTGCTGGCATACAAATGACAACTGTAGGGGAGAAAGGCAGTTGGGAGGGCTGTGGATACAAGGCATAGCTTTATGGCCTGGACAGCAGCCCTGAGTGTCCCTAGGGACCGTCCTGTATCCCTGTACCCGTCATTGAGCACAATGGATGCCCCGGGTCACCAAGGTTCACAAGGACTGATGTACCAGCTCCAAGCACTAGGAACCTGTGCAAGGTATTGAGAAAGACTCGTTATCAGAAGGCTCCAGGGTGCCTTCAGTTCTTTGGTTCTGAAGGGAATGTCATTTTCTTCTGAGGTCTTTTGTCTGGGAAAAATAAAGCCTGTAAAGATGTCAGAGAATGACCAAGACTTTTCCTGTTCTGGCAGAGATGAGGTGAGCCTGCTTTCTGGAGGCCTCCTGGTACTGGAGACACACCCTTAGCTGTTCATGTAAAAACCTTGGCTGAAAAAGCAGGGGAACCTGTGTGAATAAGAATGTAATAGTGTGTACCTCACAGTGGTCTGTGGTTTGCTTGCCTCTTCAAGAGCTGACTCTTTCTTCTAGGTTTTGCTGAGGTGAGTGCCTACGCTGGAATTCTGGACATGGCTTCAGCTTCTATTCGGCCTGGTTGCCTAATCCTGCCTTGCCAGGAGCTCACAGTTCTGACACTCCGGTTTTGGAAAACCTCTCTGGTGGCTAATCTACTTGGTCATATTTAGAATCCCCATGGAAACACACCTCTGTGTCCTGTACTGAATAATGAGGAGACCGTGAACTGAGCACCGGAATTCATCTCTCTCTGTTCCCTGACTGGGCCTCAGTGTGTCTATGTTGTCCTCACCATGAGGGACCGGATGAGCCTTCAAACCATGAGCCAATCGAGTCTTTCCCCATTTGAGTTGCTTCTATCAGGTATGCATTCACATCAGTGAGAAAAGTAGTGAAAGCAGCCTGCTTATCAAAAGTTCTTTCTTCTGCCTAGAGCCACTCTCTGCTCCTCCCTCTTCCTGTGGCCATCCGTCCTCTGAAGAGACTTCTTACCTGTTCTTTGGGGCTCTCTTCCTGCCAGGAGCTCTGAGAAGCCTGCTCCATATCTTCTTCGAGCTCATCAAGGTCAGATTCCCCTTCAGCAATGGGCACAGAGACCCACACATTAGGATCAGTGATGAAGTCCCCGTGGTTTTCCTTGGGGTCACTGAGAGCTGGCTTTGCCAGGTTCCCCACTGCAGCACTGACAGCATCAGTAGCAATGTGGTTCTCAGCTTTGGAGCTGGTGAGTGGGGGTTTCACCCCTAGCTGGGGCTCCATCTTGGGCCAACGGAACCGGCAGTGGCTGCTGATGTAACTGGCAATGGCCAGACTGGCCCGATGGCCAAACGCCTGAATCCTGGCCAGTGCTAACTGCAAGTTGTTCACCTCCCCGTCATCCTCTGGGGCCGTGAGATTGTCCGCACTGAAGGAGTTCAGCAGTAAAGCGATGAAAAGGTTGAGCACCTGAGAAAAGGTACGGAAGGGAAGACACATCCGTCACTTGGCACGGGCAGCTGAGAGACAGAGAGATGATGCTGTGCTTGAACTTCCTCCCTTTTACTCAGTGCAGAATCCTAGCATGTGGGAAGGCGTCACCCACATTCAGGGGGGCTCTTCCCTCCTCAGTTAAACTTCTCTGCAAATGTCCACACAGGCACACCCAGAGGTGTGTTTCCTAGGTGATTCTAAATGCCACCAGGTTGATAACCAATACCAACCATCACAGAGGTTCTCCAGCATCTTCACTGGCATAGTCTTGATCTCTCTGGCCTACTATTGCCTGGGTTGTCCCTGCCCACCTGAAAGACCAGAATCTTGGAAGAATGGATCCCATGGGCACAGCTGGAGAGAGCTTTGGGGCAGTCTTGGGTACCTACCTTAATCCCAAACCTAACCCAAAGGCTTCTAAGCCCATACCCCTCCTCTCGAAGTAAGGGATCATCCTGGCGGCAGAGGAACATTTGGAGGGACGGTGGGCTTGAGGATCTGCCATTAAGGATCAGTGGAAGGCATTTGTGCCCCAGGAACCAGGTTGGGAGACAGACAAAGGCCCTACTGTGCTTTGATCCTCTCAGCTGAGCTTCTCTCTTTACCACAGATACAAACTGATTGACTTCTGGAGACCTCAGAGCGTAAGAAAGGGGCTCTCGGAAGATCAGCAGAGGGAGGCACAGGCACTCACAGGTAGAGAGGGTGGAGATGGAGTTTAGCTGGGGTGGAAAGTGGGTGTGGGACTAATTACTTCTCCAGAGGTCCAACCCCCCAGAACCTGGGAGCAGATTGAAATAATGTAATCATCCGGGTACCATCCGGCTTGACTCCCCATCCAGATCCAAGATGAGAGTGCTTTTTACTCTCCTGAAGAAAACTGTTTGAGCTCCCCAGACAAGGTGAGAAACTTCCCTTGAGGATGAACGGCTGTGGTTCATTGAGTCCCTGGACTTGCCACACCCTGTCACTTAATCCTGCCCACACTCGGGAGCAAACACCTTTCTTGGCTTTCTTAGCTTTAAGCAAATTAAGTCTTGGGAAAGTCAGTCTCTGGTCTCGAGTCCCTCAGCTAGAGAAGACTGGATAGGAAGTTTCCTACCCTGTCTTTAAGCTCCCTCCTGGCAAGCCAGGCTGCATGGAAGTGCGCACACTTCCCAGTGTGCTGCCCATATGGCTTTGATACATTTGAAGGCACTCCAACGATTCAAGACTGTATGTGTGTATATGTGAGTGTGCATCTGTATGTGTGAGTGTGTGCCTGTATGTGTGACTGTGTGTCTGTATGTGTGTGTGTCTGTATGTGTGAGTGTGCCTGTGTGTGTGAGTGTGCCTGTGTGTGTGAGTGTTTGTCTGTGTTGCCTGTATGTGTCTGTCTAGATGTGTGACTATGTGCCTGTATGTGTGTGTGCCTGTATGTGTGTGTGCCTGTATGTGT